GCTTACTTCAGCATACAGCGAACGTTAAATGGTCAATAAGCATCAATCATCCGGATTTACACGACATAATCATATCATCCCTTTGCTCCTAGAGGTCTAGATGAAGGGCTTTTAAGTAGATCCAGTAACGAGGAGACCCTGGAAAGGACATGCAACAGTGAAAATCAGCATCTGTCAATAAAAGCAGCCTTCAGCTAGCTAGTATCTGAATAAACACCTATCTTACCAATTGCAAATTTTCCATATTTTCGGTGTATATTTTAAGGGCTCTTAACCTACAAAAATTTGGCTTAGTGATGAAAATGAAGGCAAACTGATTACGTGACGCATCAGATTTGGTATCTATCGAAGGTCAGAATGAACAATACTTGGAGAAAGATTTACCAACTGAACTCGTACGGACAGATTCGCGGACACCATTCGTATCCATCTCCAAATCGAGTAAGACAGAAAACCGAATATTTGGGTAATGAAACACGTTTGGAATCTGGAACAAATCTACTGATATGACAGGCAGCTACCAACAACCGGGTCATATTAGACGTCATCGATTTGAAGAACTGCTGTTCAACAGGTTTTGAGCGTTAAATCACGATAACGGCAACAAAAACTGGCATGATCATCGATACAATTAAAATACAAAGCTAGCGGTACCTAACATGGCTGTTCGGTATTTTGCATTTTATCTAATGCTTTAGGCGAGGAAATGATGACTGGAGTCGCAGGACCGCACTGTCGGTTTAATCGCTATTTCGTAGCTTCTAGTTCAGAAAATTCGTGACATTTAATAAGAACTTCTTGTCGCAGAAACCATTCACTGCATCAAGAAATTGAGAAATTGACTTACCAGGTCAAAAATGAAAATGCACAGATCTTACAGTGACCAGCATGCACGTATGAATGACCAATATGTAAGAATATAATACCTATTTTTACATCGTCTACAAAAACTAACGTGGGTTTCGGAACCATGCGTAAAAGATCTGCATAAATATTCGCAGCGCAACAAATGGCAAAAACCTTATCAATCATGAGCTTAGCCACATAAGAGTTAGCTACTTTTAATGTTTACGACATCAGAGCGTGTGTTCAACACTACACAAGATTCAGAATCCGATATGAAATAACTCCAAACTTGAAACATCAAACTATCAATAATTTCTGGCGCAGCCGTAGACAAGCTGCTTAGAGGAATAAATTAAAAATGTGAAACGGCCCTAGAATACACCAGTTTTTGACGATCACAGCATTAGCCTCAAATGACCGAAATGGATTATTTTAGAACCTACCCTAGGTAAATGCAAACGTGTGCTTCTTTAAACGCAAGTTCTGAGCAATATTTCGATCGCCGTTCAAAAACATTCGTCTATCAATAAGCCAGTGTCAGTAAAAGCGAAAAGTGCGATAAAACATAGCTGGTAGGGGCAAATTTACTAGGGAATGCGCCTGGAAAACGGCTCAAAGACTGGCTGGGCAACGTGATTGCGGCACCAAGTTGCCATAACAAATATAACAGTCCAAGACAAACTTATAGTACAAAGATTGAACAAACACACCAGGTAAACAGAAGATACAAATACTGACCGTAAAGCTGAAAAAGTAAATCTAAATGAAAACTTGAGTAAGTCAAATAAGTCTGCCATAGAACTGCTTTGAACCACAGTGACAATCGATATAATTTTATGTCCTCTGTATTCTTCTGCCAGAGAAACCAATAAACAGAAAGCTTTGCAAGAACCCTTTCGGTATCTTGGTTAGGAAACAAGAAGCATGCGCACTTTCGACAAACCTGCGTAACGCTAGTAATCATGTAGAAGTCAGCGAAGATAACTTCTCTTCCAGTCGGATGACATTTGTGTCATTAACCAGATGGCATAATATAATGTTAACTGTCATTTGAACATTTGAAAAGTATCGTGTAAACTGCACAAATTCACTGCACTATAGAGTTGAGATCAGCAGAACGGGATCATACATTACCATGGTTCCGACAAAAGTGGAATAAACTTTATTTCGGTCCTCTGCATGTGAACCATTCTTTCCCTTTACTTTACAAAAAACTTAACTAACCCGTACTACGCGGAGTGTTTACGACAACACCTTGGAAATATCATAATAGTCTCAACACGACTAATATATATTAGAAGAAAATGTTTTAGATTAATATTTCAAATGACTTCTTTCACCAGTAATAACTTCTGCCATGTCATACTTTAGCACCTCATGCTATTTGCAGCCGTAGAGGCAACCTTCGTAAGGGAATTCGCCTCTTCAAACGCAGCTCAGGTTGTATGCAGCAAACGTGACAGAACATTTAGCTTAACATCCAGTGGATCGCGCAGAAACGATCTCTAACTCTCAACTTTCTTTAGCTCGGAAACTACGTTCGTCACATACATAGAGTGACATTCGGTAGCATTAACACTGTATGCTTGTGACCAACCAACACACCTAACATCTGCCTCCAGCACCACTGTTTTAAATCTAAATAGCAGAACTTTGAGAAAATGTGCTCAATAATCATAGGTTAGCAAATTCGGGCAGGAAATGCAGTGAATTTTTACTTTTGCTAGAACAGCTGGCTAAGTAAGTTAAACAAAAATACTTACGAATATCAGAAAGTAAACTCTTTGCAGAATTCTGTCATACCTTATTACAGAGATGTTCAATGACGACTTCCTTTAAGCCGCTGTACAATTTATCGCCATGTTTATGAAGCACCATGGTATACGCATTTCGATAGAGCTCTTCAAACGAAAGGCCAGAGTTGTTCTTCTTCTGAATCTCTTGAACAGCATTTCTCAGCAATTCCCATGTGCTCTGAACATACTTCTCATCCATCGTCATCTGCGTACGGTCAAGTTAGACAAATTAACAACTTAGGGCTTTTACCGGAAAAGCGCGGATGCGCATTTTGTTCATCCCTTCCTTCTTCGCCGGTTTCATAGCGGGTCGTAGCCAGTCGTCCTGAACTTACAGAGCAGCATGCCTCAAGCACCAAGCCTCAGCTAGCAAGAATATAAAAAGTCTCATTGTCGGTCAATTCGGTAAGCTATCAACATCGACCATTCAAATCTCATATTAAACATGGATAAGCTCAAAGAAAAGCAGTATTTAGCTGTTTTAATAAGCGAAATTCCTTAAAGACCGCGAAAAAAGTCGTAAGACCGTTCAAATCACGGCGCAGATTGCACAACCCGACACAAAAGAGGAAGATCGCCTAAATCCCGAGTGCAAACGATTCCACTGCACCTAACTTTAGACTACTAAACGAACAAAATTACAAAGGTGAGCATCTCCGATACTGCTGATTGTCAAGTTAGAACGCTAATGACCCGTTTCACTTTACTACAATCGGACAGCTGACTATTCAGCGCAACATTTAACTACACACGTGCAGACGAATCAAAGAAAATATGCAAAGTGGTTGAATTCCTCTCTTTAACAGTCTATCACATCATGCAATATATTTTATGCTTGCGGCGTGAAAATCGATAAATGGCATGGATATGATGCGCAATTCGAAACCGTTTAATTTCGTCTTGTCCAAATAATCTCATTTAAAGATTTCAGTCTTTGAGTAAATAGATATTTTTAACTGCAAGCTCTTTACCGTAATTTTTACATCGTTTATACAAAGTTTGCAAAGGTACTGTGAATCACTGCCATTACGATGTGCATGTTGTCGCTAGTTCAAACAGTCGAACAATTCAAATCGAAAATTGAAAACCTTTAGCGTATTCTGCTTGACGGCAAAATGCAATCCGCAACTTGCCAGTGTAATACAATGGCCCTTACTAATTTCCACTCGGCAAACAAAGTATTTTCGCAAACCATCCGTCGGCTCCGAGGTGAAAAGAATGGCAGTCTTAGAGTCTTGAAGGACGGATCTGGACCCCCTCCTACCAAGAATGATAACATTCTTCGGCGATGGAGGGTGTACTTTCAGGAACTTTTTATACCCCTGCAACTGCTACAAGACTTGCCTGTAGAGCAGCAGGGAGCGGATATTACGATCTCCGTAGATGAAATTACGCAAACTGTTAAAAGATTGAAAAATGGAAATGCTGCCGGAACTGACGAAATCCGCCCTGAGATGCTCAATGTATTAGGCGAACAAGGCATGTGATGGCTAACACATGTCTGTCAAACTGCGATGACTGCGGGAAAGACACCAGCGGACTGGAGAACGCGAATTATTGTACTCGTATTCAAGAGGAGAGAAATCAAGGAATGCTCTAATTATAGGGGCATAACGTTATTGAGCTTCCCAAATAGTGTCTACGCAAAGGTGTTACAAAGGAGGTGCCGTGAAATAGTTGACCTCAAGATCCAAAAAGAGCAGTGTGGCTTCTGGCCCGGTCGAAACATCTCTGACCATAGATTTGCCCTGCACCAGGTTGTTGAGAAATCGTGGGAGTACGCCCGTCCAGTGTGTATGTCTTTTGTTAATTTAGGAAAAGCCTATGACCGGATCCCACGCAAAAGTCTATCGTCACGCCTTCGAATATACGGGATAGATGGCCAGCTGCTAAGCGCAGTCCAATCAATGTACTCTGACAGCATGTACAAAGTCAGAGTAAACGAAGATAAATCGAAGCCTTTTCGCGTTGGCAGTAGTCTCCGCCAAGGCTGCTTGCTGTTCCCTCTACTGTCTGTCTTGTACATAGATAGAATAGTCAGGAGCTGCCTAGGCGATGAGCGTATTGGTGTAGGAGATGTGAAGACGAGAAGGTTGCTATTTGCAGCCGACCTTGTTTTATTAGCATCTTCTGAAACTGATCTCCAGTGCTCCTTAGAAAGGTTCGCAGCCGAGTGCGACGTGACCAGCGTACGTGTGAACGCATCTGAAACGAAACGTCTAGTGCTTTCTCGTTCTCCTGCCAGTTGCTCTCTACAGCTTAACGGAGAGGCTATGGAACGGGTGGAGAAGTTCAAGTATTTCGGAATTGTGTTCACTATTGATGGAAAATTGGAGGAAGAGATCGATTAGCGAATTGGAGTAGCCAGTGGCTCTGCGTGAACTAGCCCGACCCATTGTGACTAAAGCGGAGCTCAGTCTGAAAACTAAGCTCTCGGTGTTCAAGTCGATCTTTATCCCCATGCTTACCTACGGTCATGAATCGTGGACCA